GGACTAAGTCTTGATTATTAGACTTGGTAAGACACAGTTGTTGGTGAAGTTGCCCAGACTGTGTTCAGAGAGCATATGGGGACCATCCACTGTGGACCCAATGCTGAATCCAACTATCACTGGAACATTTTTATCCTGTTTTAACTGCAAGATCAGCGATTGGCTGAGTACTTCAAATGTAAAAAGTTATTTTGTGATTTCTTTTTCTTTTGTTCTGCTTTCTGTTTGAAGTTCTATGTGTGGGTTTGTTGTGTCAATAACTTTGTTTTTCAGACAAATTGTTAGATGCTCATGGATATAGCACATAATTTTGGAAATTATAGTTAAGAAACATGTTGAAGTGAGTTACTTAATTTTAAATTTTATCTAAAATACAGCTACTTTTCTCCAGGACATTTTTGGTGTTTGTTTTTTTTTTTAAATTGGGCTCTCCAGCTTTTCTGTAAATGTCACTGAATTAAATGATGTGATTGACAATGTATCACCCTATGACTTTGGGTTGACTTTCGAATTTGGTGTGCTAATGTGATTGGCTGGGTAAGTGACCACCAGCAGAGCTGCCCAGTGGTTGAAGAGAAGACTTTCCTAAATGGGGTTGGGGGAAGCTGTTTGGTGAGGGAAATGCAAATCAATTCACTCCACTGTGGAACATGCAAACATGCTTTCTAGTGCCAATGTCCTCCATTTATCCCCTGTCCCCTGTCATGTGCATATGGAAGAATCCTTACCCAGGGATAAAAGGAATATCTTTCCTTTAACACTTCAGAAAGTGGTATACATTCTTTATATCTCGGGAAGCTAATAATGGAATCAGGGAGGTATTTATATCCTATTGACATTTTGCATATTTATAGTGTCTCCATTGAATTTGTAAAAGATCAGGCTAAGGGAGAGCAGTTCTGAGTCAGAGTCATTTTAAAGTAAAATCATGAAGTTCACCTCCATCTATAAGAAATACATGGGGAGCGAGAAGCACACAGGGGTACCACTGACAGTGCTGGAATGTGCCTCTAAGTAGATTCAAGGATAAAACCCTCCAGAGATCCTCTGGATCCTTAACTCAGCCCCGTAAGGTTGTGAGAATAGACTCTGGTCAGATGCTTCTCTGACTCTCTGATTTAAGCAGCTATCTCAGGAGAAAGGGCGTGCCAAGCCTGTTTATTAATCACAATTTCCTCTTTAAGGTTTGGCAAAGCCATTTCTACTTTCAATAGAATTTATTTAGATTTAAATTTATTTAAATTGCCAACATTTTATGTGTCAGTCAATGGGAAATTAACTTTGGTATAGGGGATTATAGACCTCATAAAGAGGCGAAATTAATTATGGGCATTCAATACCAATATTAGTTGATAGGCTGGGTTGTTGCGGAATATCAGGTCAATATTTTTAGGAAGTTGACTACAAACCAAGAGGAATATGTTCTTACTTTGTGATTCTGAAACTCAGAATCTGAACTGCTAACATAAATTGAGATCAGTACTCTTGTCCCACTTTTCATTCCTTATATTTTGCTTTACCAAAAGTCCAGATGAGAAAAAAGTGTAAATAAGAAGACTTATTTTATGTAAGCTAAATAACATGTTAATACGTGCTGTTAAAGGCTGAGAATGAGTTTTAGAACTCAAAGATCATTGTACTTATCTTCCAATCAAGCCAAAGTTACTGAGAATACCATATGGTTTTAGAAGATATATTTGGTGTCTTTGGGAACTTGAGGCTACTAAATCATTAACAGCTGCCAGAATGGAATAGACCAAATGTACTTGGAATTTAGTCCTTTGTAGTGGGGAAGTTTGTGGGTTTCCTGGTTCAGCCCATCTGATGAGAAGAATAACTCACAAACATGTTAGCTAGTTGCACAGGATAAAATTTTGCCAGAGAACATGATAGATGAGAGTGAAGATAAATTTAAAAGACTGTGTCATTAGTTGGAAAATTTAAAGACAAAGAGGAAGGTAATATTGCCAATTGTTAAGAGTTTTTCATCAGGTGCAGGGTTCTCAACCTCAGAACTATTTATACTTGGGCCAGAGACTTGTTCATTGTGGAGTTTTGCCTAGTGCTTTGTAAGATGTTTAACAACATCTCTGGTTCAACCCACTGGATGCCATCAGCACCCTCTCCCCAGCTGTGACAATCAAAAATGTCTCCAGACATCGCTAAATGTCCTCATAAGCAAAATTGCCCCTGACTGAGAACCACTGGGCTACACTACGCAATAGCCCCAAAAGTCCCATTCCAGTAATATGGTCAATGTAGAATGGAATGAAGGGTGCTGCCTATTGAGAACTTTGGTTGTTGAACATGTTACTGGGATGGATGGGGTTTTGTTTGGGAAACATAATAATTAGGGTATAGCTCCTGAATGTACAGTGTGTAGATGATGATTAGATCAATTTTTTAATATCCAGAGTTAATTTGACTATAGTAGAAATACTATTAATGTAGGTAATTGATTGTATTCGATTGTGCCTCCCTCCAAAACACCTGTAGGGCTGCCCAAGTAGGATCACATTGGGAAGCCTTGAGTGGGTGTAGCTTTCCACTTGCTTAAATTCCACTGCATAGTAGAGGCTCCTTAGAAATCCACATAATCTTACATGCTTGCCTTCTAACGAAGACATAGAGGCACTTGTGGCAGAGACTGTATTCACCAAACATCTTCGCCATCCTTCACTTTCCCAGTCTCTCTCCCAGTTAGGTTGGGGCCATGGAACTAGTTGTGTGCAGTGAATGGGATCTGAACTTAACTTCTGGGGTGAGGAAGTTCAGAACAAGAATGGTTCCTCCACTCTCTCTTCCACTATCATGATGACTTTCGGGCCTCAGCAGTACGTGTCCTGTGAATCAGAGAAATAACCACTCCTTTTTATTCCTTTTCTATGTTCTCTTTTTATAGGATACCTATTAGGGGGATGTTGGACTCTGAATTATCTGCTTAATTCTCTTTCATTTCCAATTGTTATCACTGTATCTATTTTTCTACTTTTTGGGAAACCAGTTGGAATTTGACCGCATGGAATAGAAGGTTCAGCTATGACTCCAGAGCACCGGTTTTACTGCCAGTTGATTTTCTTTGTGCTAATGCTGTTCTGGGGGGAAAGCCATGTGCGTATTAAGTAAACAGTTACTTGGAAGGGTGTTGCACGCAATCTAACAAGTTCTGCACTAGAGGAAGTTCAGGAGATTTGGGAGGTTCTTTTTTTTTCTTCTTCAATAAATGAAGGGTGGCAGTTATTAACCACCACACCTAAAACAAAAGCAAACTAAGAGAACAGCTAGATCAGGAGTAAACCATAGAAATGAAGATCATATGGAGGATTAGCAACAGGGGAGTGGGAGAAGGAGAAGGAGGGAGAAGGTACAGAAAATAAGTAGCATAGACAGTAGGTAGAAAATAGATAGGGGGGAGGGCAAGAATAGTACAGGAAATATAGAATCTAAAGGACTTGAGACACGTGTTCATGAACTAAAGGGGGGAATGGAGGGGGAGGGGTGTGCAGGGTGGAGGGGAATGGAGGGGGGAAATAGAACAAATGTAATGGCATAATCAATAAAATTAAAAAATATTAAAAAAATAAATTAAGGGTAAACTGACAAGGGGTAGGACTTGGGAGGTAGGATGATATGATCGTTAATAGCTTATCCTCTGCTGTCCAGCTGCCTGGATCTGAACGCCAGTTTTAACACTTATTAGCTATGTGATCTTTGGCAAACTACTTAAGCCCACCGGACCTTACTTTTCTTATCTGTAAAGTGGAGGTTGATACAAGTTATAAGTATGTAATATATATTAAGCAATTAAGATAGTACCTGTTCCATAACATGTAGTTGTCTGCTTCTTTCTCTTTCTTTCTCTTTCTTTCTTTCTTTCTTTCTTTCTTTCTTTCTTTCTTTCTTTCTTTCTTTCTTTCTTTCTTTCTTTCTTTCTTTCTTTCTCCTTCTTTCCTTCCTTCCTTCCTTCCTTCCTTCCTTCCTTCCTTCCTTCCTTCCTTCCTTCCTTCCTTCCTTCCTTCCTTCCTTCCCTCCCTCCCTCTCTCTCTCAGTTGATCTTCCCTTAAAGCGCTTCTTTCATTGTAAGTACTATTTCAATGCTAGCTGTTAATTGGATTGCAAAGCCTTTGCACTCAAAAATATTTTAAGTTCCATATAGCCCACTGTACTTCTCACTAAATATTCCTATAGTTAATATAAATAAGTTGAAATGCCTTTCATAATTCCAGTTCCTTCATCTTTTCCACCAGGCACTGCTAACATAAAAGGTATTTATGGGCAAAGGGAAACACGCCCTTTCCTCTGGTCAGTGATTTATTGCTCCGTGTCAGTGTGTGTGTTTCCATGAGCAGGTCATGGGCTGGGTCTCATCCTGTGCATACCCTGGTCCGTGAGGTCTGTGTGTAGGACTCTGTCTGCAGGCTCTGTGGGGCCCCAGTGGAGGCTTTACTCCTGCCAGGAACCTGGCTTGGGAAACTCAAGCCTCATACTCCAGGGTGAATTCTGTCAGTTGGATTTGATTACTAGTAATTGTGCTACCCATGACCTTGGTTTATCTGCCCTTCCATTGCTATTCTGAAAGGGTGGGGGTGGGTTTTGAACCCATCACTTAAAGGATTTCAGTATGAAAGGGAATCCACAGATATGTTGTCAAGTTGTTAGCATGTGGATGTTTTTAAGCCCTTGAGATTGGATGAAATCACTCAGATATAGTGAGAGGAATAAGGAAGCAAAAGGACCAAGGGCTGAGCCCCAAGGAGCCTAAACTTTCAGAGGTCCTGGGAAAGTATAGAGGAGACTAAATGAAAAGGAGAACTCACAAAGTGAGGGGAGGTTGTCACAGAAGGTAAGAGGAGAGAGAGAGACAAAACCAAAGCCTGCCCTCTGTGAAAAGCTGTGGGGGTTAGTTACTTGGTTGTGCAAATCATGATGGTAATTCATGACCAACTGAAGAGGGCCGCTAGCATTCCTCTCTCCTCACGGGTCAACCTCCTGTCCCATAGGTAAAGGCCTCTGATGCGGATGCAGGAGTCTACGGCTTGGTTGAGTATTCTCTTTATGATGGGTTCCAGAGCTACGAAGCACCTCAAGCCTTCCAGATTGATCCACATGATGGGCGAATCTGTGTTTCTCAAGATACCGACAGGGAAAGGGATCCAGCCACCTATGATCTCTTGGTGAAAGCTAAAGATGGGGTAAGTCTTATGTATGAAATTTTGAACAGACTCAAAAGCGAACCACTGTGTATACTTTAAGAGGACCAATGATTGTCAGTGGCTAATATTGTTTCATAAATCATTACCTCTATTTTTTTTTTTTTGGCCGGAGAATTTTGAGGCAAATACCATCCATCATGTTATCTCATCCATAAATACTTCAATAATATCTCCAGTACATAATGATTTTTAAAAACATAACTATAACAAATTAACATTAATTCATATCTAATATTTATCCATTTAAAAATTTCTGGGTTATCTAAAGGTGTCTTTTAATAATCTGCTTGTTTGAATTCAAATAAGTTCACAGATTGATTTGATCACTTATCTTTTTTAAGTTTCAATCTGGTAGTCAGCTCCCATCCCCCTTATTTCCTCATAAGATACTTATTTTTGGAAGAAATCAGGTCATTTGCACTGTAAATGTTTTACATTCTGAATGTGGCTGGTTACATCCTTGGGATTCATTTAATATGAAATTGCATTTAATATTCATTTAATATGAAATTTAAAGTTTTTAAAAAAATCTTATTTCCTATGAACTGGCATTTAGAGCCAGAGACCTGATTAGATTTGGGTCCATTTAGGTGATGCCATGTGCTTCTTATTGCATCAGCAGACACATACCATTATTTCATTATGGGTAATGATATGGTGATTTTGAATTCTGTTATTCCTTTTGCATTTATTGTGTGGAATGTTCAACTAAGAATATTCTCTCATTAACTACTTGATTACCCTGCTACATGATTCATACAGGAAAGGCAAGTTACACTTGATTATTTCTCTTTATTTTAACAGTTTTTGGAATAATGAGTTGGTACATTCGCCCTCCCCAAAGAGTACTGATGATGCTTTCCTTCATCCCTTCATTTCCTTCAGCAACATAAGAAACAGATCAAATATGTTTAAATTCTTGGATTTTAGCATATTCAATCTGTTTCATATGTTGCTGAACATCTCCTTTCTGATGTACCTATTGACCCATCTTAGATCAGTGAAGGTTCCTTTAAATTGGCTCTTACATTTTTTTTTCAAAACTTTTAAATTGAAATTTAAAAAAACACACAGAAAAGTAGACAAATGATAAATACAGCTTCTTGGATAAATACATGCATGAAAACAGATGAAGAAGCATTACTAGTACCCTAGAAGCCCTTCTCTTGGCTTCTTGCTATAACTATGGCTTCCAACCTTTCACCCTTTAAGAATAAGCACTATTGACTTTGAACACCAAACACTGTCTGCCTATTTTTAAACTTTCAGTGAATGGATTCATATGGTATGTGTTTTTATTGCTGCTTTTGTCCAGCATCATTTGTATGAATCATTTATTCTGTTGTGTATATCAATAGTTCACTCATCCTCATTAGTTTAGAGCATTTTTTCCTGTGAATTCACAGTAATATTTATTCTATAATTGAACGTATCCATTTTTATTGCAAGTAGTGCTTCTATTAACTATCTCATACATTCCAATTTGGTGAACAAATGTAAGCATTTATAGTGAGTATATATTTAGGAGTGGAATTGCTAATTTATAAGAAAATCAAATACTTTTCAAAATGGTTGCACCAATTTATACTCCCACCAGTGAAGTATGAGAATTTCATGTGCTCCACATTGTCCCCCAACATTTGGTATTTAATGTTTTTTTAATTATAGCAATTCTGGTATTTGTGTAGTGGTACAGTACTTTGAGAGTTTACTTTGCATTACCTTGAAGACTAATGAACTGAGCACATTTTCATATGTTCATTTGGCTGTTTGTTTATCTCATTTTGTGAAGTGTCTATTCAATACTTTACCCATTTTCTATTGTACTATTGGCTTCTTTTCTTATTGATTTGTATGAATTCTTTGTATTTTTGGCGTTCAAGTTCTTTCTTGGATATATTCATTACTTATGTCTTTTCCTGTTCTCTGGCTTGCCTTTTTACTCCCTTATTGGTGTCTCTTGAGCAACAGAAGTTCTTAATTCTAATAAAGCTCAGTTCATCAATCTGTTTCCTTTTACAACTAGTACTTTTTCCCTTTACAACTGTCCTTTTTATTTTTATTTTTATTTTTTATTGTTGTTCAAGTAGTTGTCTCCATTTCCACCGCACCACTCTCTACAACTGTCCTTTCAAGAAGTACTTGCTTACTTTAGGGACACAAAGGTATTCTCTTAGGATCTCTTCCAAAAACTTTATTGCTTAACCTTTTACGCTTACTTTTTCAATCTAGTGGGAGGAAAGCATATTTTTTCTGCATCTGGGTATTCAGTTGACACAGCACCATTTGCTGAAATGATCACTCTTTCCTCGCAGCACAGAAGTATCACTTTTATCATGAATCATGTGACTGTATATGTGTGTGTCTATTTTTAGACACCCTATTTTTGACTTATGTGTCAACTTTGTACTATTCCATACCCTTTCAATTTTTTAGCTTTATAATAGGTCATGATATATGTATTCTTTTAACCTTGTTCTTTATTTTCAAGATTACCTTGGCTACTCCTGACCATGTACATTTCCAAGTACATTTTAGAAACAGCTTGTCCAATTTCCACTCCATTAGAGCAGAGATACACAGTGTTTTGCACTTTTTATTTTCAGTAAGTCTCTTTTGAAGACTTTCTTCATTTCTTTTTGATCTGCTTACTGACCGCTCCTTCATGTAGACAGGCACTGCTAACACCTTTCTGGTTAAGCTTTTTCTTTTGAAATTAATGGAAGAATCTACCTACTTATGGCATGAGTTGATGGGGCAAAAAGGAGTCTAAATATACTTATTATAAGTAAATGTGTAGAAACTCACATGAAAATATCCAGTAAAATTACTATGATCTATTACTATACTCAGTGGAATTATTGTGAAGTATTTGATTAGATTTTACCAACCCCTGACTATGTGAGTCCAGGAATACTTTTTTCTATGTAAGAACATGTGGGAAGCAACAATAGGAATAAACAGAGGAACTTAGATTCATTCAAGTCTGTGCGATTATTTAAAGCTCAATATATGCACATGCAAATATTTATCCAGGGCTTCAGAAATATATTCTTCATAGATTTTAAAGCAATTATAAAAGGCCATCTCAGAATTGCACAACCAGTTTAAATCCAATACTGCAGTAGTCAAACATCTGTTTCTAATTAGTTGGTTTCAGATGACTTTGTAAAAGTATATATAAAAATTATCTTAACAGAAATAAGATTGTTTGATGCCAGAAAAAAAAATTTACTGCCAAAACATAGTGCATTAATTAGGAGCATTTTCAGTGGAATAAAGGATACCAATCCAGATATTTAATTTAAACCTCCTTGCTTACTCTTTTCTGTTTCCATGTTGAACCTACTCTCCACTCTTACTCTGGAAATTCCTTCCTTTCCTCCCAGCTTACCAGTGTCTATGGCAGTGTTCAAGGGCATCTTTAACCATGTCGCTCTTCCACAAAGCTTTCCCAGCTTGAACAAAGGGAATGCATCCCCCCCTCCCCAGCCAAAAGCTATTTTCTTTTCAAGATAGCTAAGAAAGTGTTTACAGGCTGTGTAGCAGCTTTGGTAGTTTTTAGAAATCAAAGAAGAAATGATCTTCGGGGTGATAATTGCTGTGGTCTGAAAGTTTGTGATCCTCCAAATGTAGAAGTTGATGGTATTAGGAGGCGGGGCCTTTGGAAGGTCCTGAGGGTGGAGCTTTCATGAATGGTATTGGTGCTCTAATAAGAGACCCCCCTCCCCCCGAGAGCTCCTTCGCTCTTCCATCATCTGAGGGCACAGCCAGAAGTTGGCAGTCTCCAGGTCTTTACCAGAACCTGGCCATGTTGGCACCTCAATCTTCCAACCTTCAGAACTGTCAGATAAATTTCTGTTGTGTATAAAGCTCCCAGTCCATGGTATTTAGTTACAGCAGCCTGAACTGACAAGGATGTATGTGAATCAGAATATTCTGTTGTAAAAACCTCTTGTTTCATAGGAGGAAAATCCTCTAACAAAGTACAACATATTCTAGATTATTGGACCAAAGACATCCTTCCTGTGGGTACTTCATATTCAAGGTTTCATCCTCTTGTTTGGGTGATTCATCCTCAGCCCAGCCCAGGGACAGATGGCAGCCGGTCTGCACCCTGCCTGGTTTAATGTAGGTTTCATTATTATTCAGGTGTGGGTAAGGAGATAATTGCCATTGTAGGGACAGTTTGTTGTACTCACAGATGCCAAGAAGAAGGCATGCCACACCAAGGGACGGTGTGTGTGTGCACATGAGAAACAGTGGGATCAGGAGGCAGAGGGAGAGAGGAGAGACTTCAGGCAGGGGTCTCTACTGTGGTTTCCAAGGGGAGGAAGGGGAGAGGCAGAATAAGCAGGCTTATGATTGGCCAGTTTGAATAGGTTCAGTGAACCTTTGGGGCAGTGGGGCTGCCTCTCGCTATCTGGTACCTGGCTGTGGAGTGATTAAGGCAGACACATGACGGCCTGGAGTGTGAAATGCCAATAAAGAAGGTGGTCGGGGTGTGGGCTTTTGATTGGTTGGTTTACTTTTGAGGAGCACGCTCACTGGATCCTGGTCAGTTCCTCCAGGATCAGTAAGGTCCCAGATGTCAAAGTAATACAGCCAATAGAGTGCACGGAGAATATGCTGCTCTGGTGCAGTCCCCTTGAAGAGGCGGGCAGAGGGTTCACTGGCTCTCCTGGTCTACTTAAGGCCACACAAAGGAAAATCCCTGTAGCTACCTGGTCTCACTCCAATTTATTGGAAGTAGCACCCAGTGAAACTGAGGGAATTCACCATTCAATTTAACTGTTGTCCCAGGATAGCGCCTTAAATCATCAAAGAAAGTTTTTGGCCTGGCAGGCAACTTTCAGCACTTTCTTCTTCTTTGTGTCAAATCCCATGCAATTCCATACAAGCTTCACTCAATTCTGCTCGGTCCTGGGCAGACAGTCCTCAGACTCTTCTTCAGACGCCACCAACGAGCGCTCTTCCCC